CCACACACTACATTTTCGTGTGTGCGTGTGCATGTGTGCATGTATACATGCGCGTGAAGAGAGAGGGAGGCCAGCGAGACAAGGTGGAATCGGAATGGCACATCTACACAGAGCTGAGGAATCAGCACAGGAGGAGTAATGAAGCAGGAAAGGGACAGACCAGGCCCCACTGTGAGACATGAGAAAGAACTGGTCAGGGACATTTTGTGGTCAGAGCCCTAGAGATTATAGGCCTGCCTGGGAAGACTGTGGTTACCAGAAAAGCAGTTAACCAGAAGCCAAAAGGGACCTGCTGAGGCCTTAAAAAGGAAAAATCTTTCCTAGAGGCCAAAAGGGTGGGGAAAAGAAGTAATTGGTAGAGGGTAGAAGACATGAGAGTTTGAAAAATACCCTCAGCCTTAGAGAGGGGCAGGCAGGAGAGGGGCTGTCTGCAGGCCCAAGTCAGGGTCTAACGGAGCCTCTTCAAAGAGCTGAGCTGTGGGTGAACCTGTCCTGGACTGGACATTGCTGGGCTGTGCTGGTTACAGAGCTGTCTATACTTAGTTCCCCTAAGACAGGGATTCTCAAGGTGGGGTTCCCACACCAGCAGCATCAGCTCATCTGAAAATGTCTTAGAAAATGCAAATTCTTGGGCCCCATCTCAGAGCCACCGTTATAGACTAAATATTTTATATCCTCCCACAGTGTGTATGTTGAGGCTTCAAACCCTAGTTTGGCTGTGTTTGGAGATGGGGCCTCTACAGAAGTAATTAAGGTTAAATGAAGTCATAAGTATGGGGCCCTGATCCAACAGAATTAGTGTCCTTATAAGAAGAGATACCAGAGTGGCCCCCTCCCACCTGTGCATGCTCAGAGGCAAAGCCATGTGAGGATACAGTGAGAAGCCAGCCATCTGCAAGCCAGGAAGAGAGCCCTCACCAGAAACCAAACCCCAACAGAACCTTGATCTTGGACTTTTCAGCCTCCAGAACTGAGAGGAAAGAAATTTCTGTTATTTAATCTGTCTAGTCTGGTATTTTGTTACACAGCCCAAGCAGACTAAGACACCCATTGAATAGGAAGTAGGGGTAGAGCCTGGATAGCTGTGTTTTTAAAAGCTCTCCAGGTGATTCTGATATGAGCTCAATTTTGAGAAACACTCGTCTACCTTGGGCTGAACCAAAAAGCCTTCAACCCAATCAGCAAGCATTTACTGGAGTGCCTTGGAGAACAAAGATAAATATTCCCAGATCAAGAAACTCACAGTGGAGGGAGGAAAGTGGACAAATAAATAACACTGATAGAGTACAACAGGAGCTGTGATAGAGCCATGCCCAGAGAGTTATGAGAGCACAGAGGAGCGCTCTTTCACCCTGCAGGAGGTGACCTCAGAGCTGACTCCTGAAGCTTGTTTCCACCAGCTGCAAAGAGGAAGAGAAACCCATAAACCAAGGAGTACAGTCTTCCCACAAGATCTCTCCTCCATCTGCTTTCAGGAGATGTCAATCTCAGAGGCTGTGTTAGCCTGACCACGTGGAGCAGAAACTTGAGACAGCACTGGGCAGTGAGCCTGAAGATACTGAGGATGCCCAAGTCACCTCCTTTGACACAGTTCTGTCCCCCAGGCGTTGGCATTCCAGGCCTCTGATGGGAGCAGCAGCCTTGATGATCTCAGAAATGCCTTCAGGTCTTTCTTTCATTGTCTTGGTGAATAGCATATGGCATCCTTCCACCAGCACCAATCTCCCTATCAAACAGTAGCTTGGCCAACCTTGGTTTTCTCTTCTGAATACACTTTTTCATTTTTGACAACAAAGCCAGGCTGAGAATTTTCCAAATCTTTAAGTTCTGCTTCCCTTCTGATTACAAACTCCATTTTCAGTTTGTTTCTCTCTTCCTGCATTTTACTATCAGCAGCCAAGAACAGCTACACTGCACCCTGAATATTTTGCTTAGAGATTTCTTCCACCAAATATCCTAGTTCATCCCTCATTGGTTCTGCCTTCCACAAAGCGCTAGGACACGAACACAATTTAGCCAAGTTCCTCGCCACTTTATAACAAGGATGGCCTTTCCTCCAGTTTCCAATACCTTGTTCCTCATTTCCATCTAAGACCTCATCAGAATGGCCTTTACTGTCCATATTTCTACCAACATTCTGATCATGACACTTAGATAATTTCTGAGAAGTCTGAGGCCCTCTCTACAGCTCTCCTCTTCTTCTGAGCCCTCAACAGAATCACCCTAACACTCCATTCACAGCAATCTAGGCTCTTTCTAGCCTGCATGTCCAAACTCTTCTAGCATCTACCCATTACCCAGTTCCAAAGTCATTTCTACACTTTCAAGTATTTGTTATAGCAACAGCCCCACTTCTTGGTACCAATTTCTGTCTCAGTCCATTCCTACTCCTATGACAATATACCACAGGCTGGGTAATTTATAAACAACAGAAACTTGTTTCTCACATTTCTGGAGGCTGGCAGTCCAAGATCAGGCATCTTGACACTGACCAACGGGTTCAATGTCTGGCAAAGGCCCATTCCTCATAGATAGTGCCTTGTAGGTGTCCTTGCATGATCAAAGGCGGAAGGCCAAAAGGGGAGGCAGTGGTCTGCAGCCTCTCTTCTAAGGGCATTCATCCCATCTATGAGGGCGGAGCCTTCCCAGCTTTATCACTTCCAGGGTCCCCCCTTTCAAATCTATCACCTTGTGGGGTACAGTTCCAACATGGGAGTGGCATCTGTACCCACCCTGGTTCTTCAAATGGAGTGAGCCTCAGAATCTCCTGCAGGGCTTGCTAAAATGCAGACTGCCAGGCCCCACCCCCAGAGGGTTCAGCAGATCTGGAGTGGGGCTCAAGAATCTGCATTTCTAACAACTTCCCACGTGATGCTGATGCTACTGGTCCTGCAGTCACACTAATTTTTAAGAACCATTTTATAGATGATTTTGGATCACTGCCATCAAGTCATCTTTTTTTGAGGAACCACAGAGCCCTCCCTTAACAGCCATTTTAATATACAGACAGCAGGAATTTTACACACATCCCCATGGTCTGCCAATCACTCGGCTCAGGCACATGTTTTGGGTGCAGCCATGCATCGCTACTGTTAACAGCCAAATGTTACAGAGCAAACTGAATGCCGGCTGCTCAGTCCTTCAGATCCTCAACTCTTGGCATTTCATATTTCACCACCACCTGGAGCCTTCACTCCACCACACGTGATGGGCCATGTGACCTGCCCAGCTACAGTTGAGGAAGGACAGGGTCCTGAGAGGTGACGGGACCTGCCCACACTCGCTTGGCATCTTGGACTGAGCCTTACTTCCTCTGCATCCCATTTCTAGTTAGGAGCATGGACCCTGGAGAGACCATGGGCCCCAGGGTTACACAGGAGTGACTGGTGGAGCTGATCTCACACCAGGTCGTCACCTGGTTCCTTACTTCCCTCAGGACTTCTGGCCCCTTCGCTAACCAGCCCCAGATGCTGTGACTTTCCAACTCCTGCTTCTGATGACTCTAGTTCCTTTAGGTACTCCATTACTATCACACTTGCAAGCAGTTATTTCTCATCCCTGTTCAGACGCAGGCATGCCCCCCAACAGCCTTGCTCATCACTTCACGCATGCTGGGAACTGCTGCAGCTTCAAAGCTGAGTCATAGTGTCCCAGGAGACATCCAACTCACGCCCCATCCCATCTCCACTTCAATAACCAGGCAAGGGACTGCCTCGAGGCTGCAGTTCTGGCAGGCACAAGGGTGTGGCAAGCACTGGCTGTCTAGTGGGTCTCAGCGCCCCACACTCCTCACAGAGAGTTATATCCACCCCTGTCTTCCCTCGGCCCGGAGAGCCCTGTTTGGCAGAGGCCCTCCCAGCAATGCTAATCCTGTGTTCTTCCATGGTGTTCAGAAATCAGTTCTCTATGCCCATGGCTGGGCACGGTGGCTCACGGTGTAATCCCAGCACTTCTAAAGGCCAAGGCAGGCAGATCACTTGAGGTCAAGAGTTTGAGACCAGCCTGGCCAACATGGTGAGACCCTGTCTTTACTAAAAATACAAAAATTAGCTGGGCGTGGTGGTGAGTGCCTGTAGTCCCAGCTACTCTGGAGGCTGAGGCAGGAGAATCGCTTGAACCCGGGAGGCGGAGGTTGCAGTGAGCCAAGATCGTGCCACTGCACTCCAGCCTGAGCGACAGAGCAAGAAGCTATCTCAAAAAAAAAACAAACAAAAAAACAAACAAAAAAACCAAGAATTCAGCTCTCTATGTCCAAATAGCTTCCCCCTTTATATCCCAGATGCTGTGTATGCAAGAGAGTATGCTAAAAAGTCACGCTTCCATAGTTAAAGAAATGCCCTTCAGGTACACACTAGTGAATCTTAGGAGTAAATTCGCTCCTCCAAAGTCCCAGCAGAACATGGTTTGAGGAATTCCCCTGCCCACAGCAGTTTGGTGGCCTCATGAGTCAACATTTCTCAAATACATTCTTCAGTATTTAATGTGTAATCTTGGACCAGGGACCTAACCTCTCTGTGCCTCAGTTTCCTCATCTATATAACAGGGGCAATAACAGTATTTACTTAAAAGGCTTATTGTGAAGATGAAGTGAGCTTATGTGCATAACTCTAAGGATAGCTGGCAGAGGGAGCCACAAGGTCTGGCTCTGACAACCATGCTGCTCTGATTATTACAGAGGCCACAAACTATGTGGCCTCATTTATATCACTTAGAGTTGTCAGTTATATGCAAATTAATGAAAGACAAATCTCCTTCCACCAAATGGCCAGGCACACGCAATGTGCTTTTCCTGCAGAAAGGGAAGAGCAGGGCCCACCCCTACCTGGAGGTGGGAAAAGAGGGGAATGAAAGGACTAAGGGGGTCCTTCTAGGACCTACCAGGTCAGCTCCCTCTCAGAAGAAAGCCACAGCTGAGCAACAGCCCCACGGTCAGATGGAGCAGGCGGATAAAACAATTGCTGTCTAAACAAAAGAAGCAGGGCTGCCAACCCCACACTTACTTCCAGGACTGTCCATTGTTCAACCACAATCGCATCATAGCCCTGTATGGTTTTGCTATCTTCTGTGGAAACAGCTTCAAAGATGAATACTCCATCTGTTAAGCCATGTAAGGAATCTGTGGAAAAAGAAAAAGGCGGGGTGGGGGGTGCCTTGTAAACCGTCTGTGGCAGAAGTCTTCTAAGCAGCAAACATTTCCACTGCATTCATTAATAATCCCAATCAGAACATCTTTTCAGCATGTTAATTAAAGAAGGCACATACAGCCATAGAGTCTATCTAGCCCTATCAGAATGAATGAGGCTAATTTACCTCACAGTTTTGAATAATATCCTTGATTTATGAGCCCAAATTTCATTGTTAGCAATCACCATTTGATTTCACGCGTTTACCTTCCTTTTCATGCTCCAGCGTCAGGATGCACTGGGGAGAACTTATCCAGGGTAAAACATAATCACTTAGAGACAGTTTTTAGAAGCAAACTATATTTAGGTGAGGGTTTTTTTTTTTTAAAGGGAAGAGATATAACACACCAGATCTGAGCTTGTCAGATGCATTCTAGATGCGTTGATTCTTGGAAGTTCACATGATGTGGGCTGCTGTCCAGACAGCATTTTAGGCAGCTCTTGTCAAGAGGTGGAATGTGGGGGAGAGGGAATTTTCCCAAATAATTTACCACTGGAAATGTTTCCCTGGGCACTGCTGTAGTCAATGTACCAGGTTCTGAACTCTGTACAATTCGACAAGTATACATGAAATATATAGCATGATCAAAAACTATCTTAGGCAATGAGGGTAAAAAGAAATATAGAACAGGCTGGGCGCAGTGGCTCACGCCTGTAATCCCAGCACTTTGGGGGGCCAAGGCAGGCGGATTCCCTGACCTCAGGAGTTCGAGACCAGCCTGGGCAACACAGTGAAACCCTATCTCTACTAAAATACAAAAAATTAGCTGGGCGTGGCGGGGTGCACCTGTAATCTCAGCTACTTGGAAGGCGGAGGTTGCAGTGAGCTGAGATAGCACCACTGTACTTCAGCCTGGAAGACAGAGTAAGACTCTTGTCTCCAAAAAAAAAAAAAAAAAAAAAAAAAATACAGAACAGAGTCCTTGCCCCTACAGAATACACTAAGGGAAGCACCTTTTACCCCTTTTGTTTGGTACATGGCTCGTAAATGTCCTAGGCCCATTTTGATAAGGGATTTGGGGAAAGAAGACTGACTTAGAAGCAAGTGGTTTGGGGCTGGGCTGTATCCTGAAAGGTGATGTGACTCTTTCAAGGGCTGGGTCTCTCATCTGTGGGATTATGGACAGACAATCTCTCTTGGTTCCCAGATTTGATGCTATAAACACTGCTCAATCATAATATTATGGACTGAATTGTGTCCTCCCAAAATTCGTATGTTGAAGCCCTAACCCGCAATGTGACTATATTTGGAGACAGAGCCTTTAGGAAGGTAATTAAGGTTAAATGAGGTCCTAGTCCTCCTTTAACTAGGGGGGGATGGGGCCTTAGTCTAACAGGACTGGTGTCCTTATTAGAAGAGGAGGAGAAACCAGAGCCCTCTCTCTCCCTCACCTGGCACGTGTAAAGAGGAAAAGCCACGTGAGGATCCAGCAGGAAGGTGGCTGTCTGCAAGCCAGGAAGAGAGCCCTAGCCAGAAACTGAAGTTGCTGGAACCTTGACCATGGACTTCTAGCCCTCAGAACTGAGAGAAAATAAGTGTCTGTTGTTTAAGCCACCCGGTGTGTGGTATTTTTTTTATGACAGTCCTAGTAAACAAATGCACATACAAAGCACATTTCAATGATATGCTCTTTTAAAAGGACAATTTTTAATAGGACAAATCCATAATAATGTGACTTTTTTTTTTTTTTTCCCTCCACGGGGAGGAAGGGAGACAAATTCAGAAAGTCCCCTGAATCACACTGGAGTTCCTGGAACTCCCAGTATTTTCTAGATTCACAAAGAAAAAGACTGACAGATGTGAATATATAACAATATTTAGCTTTGGCTCCCAACAGACCCCATAAACAAAAGGTCATCAACATGAGAAAATTATTTGCAACAACAATAACAAAAATAAAGGCTAAGCTCATTATTTTTATATGTAAAAAGCTTTTACAGATAGTTAAAAATACTAAAACACCATTAGAGACAAAGGACATAAACTAGCAATTAATTAATTCTCTCTCTCTTTCCATGGCCAGTAAACATTGAAAAACAATTGCAATCTCTTTTTTTTTGTTTGTCTGAGATGGGGTCTCACTCTGTCTCTTAGACTGGAGTGCCATGGCACAATCACGACTCACTGCAGCCTCAACCTCCTGGGCTCAAGTGATCCTCCCACCACAGCCTCCCCAGTAGCTAGGACCACAGGCACATGCCACCACCCCTAGCTGTTTTTATTATTTGTAGAGATGGGGTCTCACTACATTTCTCAGGCTGGTCTCAGACTGCTGAACTCCAGTGATCCTTGGTCTCCCAAAGTGCTGGGATTACAGGCATAAGCCACTGCTCCAGGCCTCAACTTGTTTTTTATTTAGCAAGGTGACAAATTTTGAAAAGAAAATTCTCACTGCTGGTAAAGGTGTGGTGATATGGGAAAGTTTATAGTGCTTAAGGGAATTTTAACTGTACAGTCTTTCTAGAAAGCAATTTAACAAATTTGCAGGATCTTGCCACAAAAAGTCCATCCTCTTTCACCCAGAAAGCTTACCCTTCTTGTCTATCGTGAGGTAATAACCTCCAACACCATCAAATATCCATCTATAAGCATTACTTATAAAATTACTTAAAAACTTAATCTAAATATTCAACAATCCAAAGATTTAACCATAGAAAAATAGTTAAATTTGGAGATTTCTGTATAACACTAGGCTGTCGCTAAAAATATCATGGGAATTTAATGATTCAGAAAAATGCTTTAGATACAATATTATGGAGAAAAACTAGGATATAAAACTGCCACATGAGCTCAATATGGATTTTTATGTTAAAACGGTTTAGACAAACTTTAAGGAAATACACAAAATGCTAGCAGCAGTTATAGGTGGTGGAATTACATACAATTTGAGTTTTCTTTTATGTCCTTCCTTTTCTGTGAGGTTATTAACAAGTTAAATCGGGTGTAACACAAGTAAATGGACAACACAGATGACAGAGAATGTCCTTTTTCTCTCTACAAGGCTCTTGAAGGCATAACTAGAATCAAAGAGTTTTTTAAAACTATGGGGAGATGATATTAGTATAATCTAAATAGAAAAACTTTCCTTAGAGGAGTCTAAAAATGGAAGATAGGGCCTCAGAAGGGTGAATGACATGTTACTGGAGTTCAAGTTTACCCTGAATAACCTTCCAGCCATTCATTATGACACCTACTGGGAATCTATTATGTGCCAAGTAGTCCTGTAGTCACTAGAGATCTCACGAGCAGCAAGACAAAATCCCTGCCTCCATGAAGCTTACCTTGCAGTGGAGGAGGGAGGCAATAACACCATGTCAGAGGTGACAAATCCTAGAAAAATACCAAGTGGGCCAAGGGGAGAGTGAAAGTGGACACAGTGGTGGTGGCTATTTTTGAAAGAGGCATCAGGGTAGGGCTTCCCACTTCAAGTGAACTAAGCAAGCAAGGAATATGGATCTGCAGGGTTTGAGAGTTCCAGGAGGAAGGGACAGCCAGCCTGACATGCAGAGTAAATGAAGGACAGTCAAGGACCAGGTGAGCAGCAGAATCAGGAGAGAAGACGGTTAAGACTAAATTGACTGGTGGGGAGGCCAGCCACTTAGGGCTCTGTTCATCTGACTTGCTTGGCCAATGGGATATTAGCAGGTGTAATGCAAGCAGAGGCATAAAAAGTACATGTGTGGTTGAGCTTGGCCTCTTGTGTCTTTGCCATTACGTTGAGAGGGCATGCCCCAGCTAGCCAGTTGGTTCTAGGGAGATGAAGGACAAATGGAGCAGAGCTGCCCCAATGGAGCCCAGCTGAGACCAGGTCTGCCTCAACAGAGCTACTCCAGCCAACCCCAAAATCTGCCAGAGTAAATTGTTACCATTGTAAGCCAATGAGTTCTGAAGTGGTTTGTTACACAGCATTATTGGAGCAATAGCTGACTGACACAATGCCCAACCTAGACCTAAAAACAAGACCACAGTACTTTGCTTAGTGTGGGTCCTTATTCCAGATAATAGGGAGGCCTAACCGGTTCAACAAAACCATGGCTGTAAGGGTAAAGGGCACAGCAGCCTTATCCTGATATTATCCCAACATAAGGTAATTCTCCATTTCAAGTAAGAGCCCTACGGGTAAACCAATAACACGCTCCAGCTTCTTGTTTCCTATCCTGAGAATCTGTTATCAAACGCCTTGGCAGGTGCTAAGCTTGCCTCTCTCATCTGCTTTGCTGAAAAGTTTCTCCTGTGTGCTTATTCCATGGCCTCCTAAGAGACATGTTTCATAGGTGATCAGGGAAAAACAGCTGCTGTACAGCTAAATCATGTCACAGGTATTTTGGGGTCCAAGGTGAGTATGGACCATAGTCCAGCTCACTTTTTAAGTTCTGGGTAACACTCCAGGAGTCCTGAGAGACCCCTTCGAGTAAAGCCCTCCCAAATCCTGACCTGGGCATGCTTGAGACCAGAAGACAATGATTCCATCAGCATTGTATCAACACAGCACACATTTCCTCAAGACTTCTACAAAAATATGTTATATCAAATTTCCAAAGCATCTACCTACAGATCTTCTCAATGGAAAACCTCCAAGCCCTTTAAAAGTGCCTGCCATGTGCTTTAAGTATTTAAGTGCCTAATTCAACATAAATTATCTGATGGTGTTTAGCCTGCCCATGGCGAGCATGGCAGAGCTGAGGTCCAGATGAGGGAAGGGGACACTCAGCCCATCCAGACTTTTTCTCCATCCCCTGCTGGGCTTCCTCTCCTTCCTCCTGAGTCAGGCCTGGGAAGGGGGCTGTGTAGTCAGCAGGGAAAGCTACAGCTAGCTTGGGGGCATGAAGGAGGAACACACCCAGATCCACCCAGAACACACTCATCCACTGCCTGCTTCCCAGTCTCCCCACCTTAGCCTAATCCTCCAGTATTCTGAATCCAGAGCACTGA